AGCCTGCGTATTTACATATGTTTGGGTTCACTAGGGACAAACCCATTCAGTGTGCCAAAATTTCTGTCACTCCTGGCTTGTGGGCCAAGTATTGGTGAGTTCAGTGGGAAAACAATGGAATACATGACCTTTCATTACCAGATATTTAGTCCAGGCCAGACAAACTCTAGTGTGACCTTTATCTTCAAAGCCAGGACACTTCCTCAGAATGCTGACTTATGGTTCCTTGTGACAAATCTGTATAAATCAACATGCACCTGACAAGGACCAGCTCTCCATGTTGTATAGGATTAACTGTCCAGCTTAGGCCCAGGTGACACATGAATGAGCTCCTTGAGTGGGACCATAGCCTACACAGGAAGTGAGCATTAAATATACAAAAAAAATCAACAAAATAAATCTATTTAAGTACTGCAACTTCCACCAAAATCAATAGATTTTTTTTTTCCTTTTCTGTTCTTGGCACATGTTAAATTAACACTTTTCTTGCGCATTCTCTTAATTCAGCTTCATAGCAATGCTCTCTTTGGTAGGTTCTTCACTGTACACTTCAGGGAGAGCCCAGCCAAAATCTCTCTTCTCACGGAAATACACATTGTTTAAAAAGCCAGAAAACAAAGGTCTTTCAAGTCTCAATATGAACATGATCTTGCAGGTTAATACCAAACCATCTCTCATTGCATAATATCTGAGAGCCGGCAATTTTAGGATTATAGAATAATCTGGAAAAGTACAAAAAAATTCTCCTTTTGCTGTAGGAGCTTTAAAGCTGCACCTTCATTCAGTCAGGAAGATAATTTTCTCTATGCAGCAAGTTTTGAATTCTGCTTATGACCTTCGTGTCATGACAATTTTGGTATTAACTTATTCCACACTAAAGTATTGCTACTAGAACTGTGAATAATCATCAAAATTAACTAGCCTATAGAGTGATTAAATAATTTTCTCCAATTTGCATTTGATATGTTTATTAAGTGCTGGAGGGTGCTATTTGCACTCTTATTTTTACTGCTGTTAAACACTACGTCTGGATTTTTGGCATAGGTGCAGTACTATTACGGTTACTACAAAATTTTTATCAGATTACAGCATGAGTTACCATTTGATACTGTAAAAATGCCAGTAGGTAGCAGATAAATATTAAGATGCAATTAGCTACCACTACCTTTCACTGCTTTGAATTCATTAATATCAAGATAAGGCTGCATTCTGTGGCAATGATAATTTTTTTACAAATCGCATTTTCTTACAAGTAACAGTGCAAGTAGTAAACAAGAGAGGAGTTGACAACAAACAATGTAAACATATACAGCCATATTAAAGCCACAAAAATACAAAGTACTGCCTATGTGTTATTCCTTACGCTTTGTTTGCCCTACCATTGTCTACAAGACCTATTACCCACAACAAGTAATTCTTTGTGAGATGATTTCATTTTGAAGCGGATGAAACTATTGGTGCTAATAGTCAATAAAAACTGTGATTTTTTAAATGTATTGGAAATATGTATTTTTAAATGCATGTTTTGGCCCTTTACACAAGCAAGTGGTTGCTAATGCAAATGTGTACTAGAAATGCAATTGTACTATACTTAGATGTGGTTCAACCACAGTTATAACAGGGCCATTAAAGAGCATTAAAAAAAAAAAAAAGAAAGACAAAAGGTAGAAAAGAAAGAATACAGAATACAGGTTAAAAGGGAACATGTTCTCTTGCTCAGCTAAAAGATTTATCTATAATTAGAAAAACAAAATTGTTCAACATTTGACTAGATAAATAAAATATTTATATCTCAGAGAACATAAGCATACCATACAGAAAACATGCTTACTTACAGTTTGTCTTGTAAAGAACTCTAAAGACTTTCATCATGGCTTGAGAAATTAGCTTTATCACAATTAGCTGGTGAGTTGGAGAAAACTGTGGACTCCTCTCTCAGAAGACTCACATCTGTTAGTCAGGGAAAGTAAACTCTCATCTGTCATCCCCAACGTTTTTCCAGTGTCTTCCCAAAATGCAACTACTCCTGATCAGCCATAAATCTCAAATAATCAAAACTACATGAGCTAAATGGCATAAAAATTAAACCTCCGGTGAATAATGTCAGGTAAGGGAATAATATGTGTGACCATGTGATTGCCTGCATTCCTGGGCTGGAGCTGGAGAGAAGTGGGAAATGCCCAGCTGCCTTAGTTGGAACCAACTCAAAACTTCATCCGCTTTGGTTCAGTTCTCAAAATAGGGCACATGACCTCTAAGTAAGATAGTACAGTATGCTGCTTTTACACTCCATTGCTGCTCCTGCAGCCCCTAATACCAATTCACTCACTTTACCAAGCATGGGAGGAGGTAAAATTTGACACTTGCTGAGTTTCAGTGTTATCTTGTTTTGTAATGCATTATCCATAGCAAATTTACCACTACCTTCAGGAACAGAGATGACATCTGCTACAGAGTGGCTTACACTTCTCTGTCTGCTGCTTTCAGTGTCATGTGTCTGACATGAGTTAACCTCTTATAAAATCTAACGAGAGGGAAGAGAATCGCTTGTTGGAGGTGTCCATGCTGCTCCTCTTGACCTACTTGGAAAACTATGACTCGACTCTTTGCGGCTTCCCCCATCGCAACACAGCTGCAGAAGGCAGTAAAACAGGACCACTTTTAACCGAATCAGAAATGTGCTATAAATACATTGTATGCCTTTGAATAACATTATTTCCAAACCTTGCAAAGCCCTTTAGTTACTTTATCAAGCCCACTACAGATCCTTTTTTCCCCCATGGAATTGGTATAATGAGAAAAGATAGCCTTTTCTCTTCACAGATAAAGATCCAAATTGCATTTTATAATCTGACAATTATGTAGTTTGATTTTTTTTTTAAATAAAACAGATAAACTCTCCTCCCTGTTCAAGATGAGATCTTAGTTGTTAGTGACAGCTGTTAAAATTCTGCTAAAAATAGATATGGTGTCAACCACTAAAAAGCTAAGTGCTCCTGTGAACCACAAGCAGAAAACAAATGAGGTTTCTCCTGAATTTGTGGAAAATCTGTGAGCATCTTGCATGTACCACAAAAGGTGCCTTATTCTTCCAGCAGCCATCGCTGTCTGTAACACAAGGGGAATGGAGGGGATCAGACGACTGGTATTAAGACAGAAGAACGGTATATTCCCTCAATTTTATTTTCTCTCTTCTTTTTGTCCCCAAAAATATAATAAAAAAGATGATGCAACACAAAGACTGAGGCTACCTCCAAGCATTTCAGATGTCTTTTTCATTTACACCTTTGCCCTGAAGAAAAAAAAAATCAGGAAGAGTAAAACAAAAAAAGTGCAACCAAAACCAAGTACACTGATACTATAAACTAACAAAAAAATAGTTGTTCTGTCTACATCAGTTATTAATAGAGCAGCTAATGTGCATAGGTGCTTTTTTCATAGCTGTGATTTGCCAGGTTCCTCACAGAGTTGTGTGGAACTTTTCTCTGCCTTGGAATTGCAGCCTCCAATCCGTCCACAGTAGCTCTGTTCAATTAATAAATGAGCTGTATTCTAAACCAGATGCATGACATGAAATGAGTAAAGAGAGAGAGAACAGAATTGTTCACATTCAATGTTATAATATATCTCAGTAGGTCCCTCCTTTTTAGCTACATTATGGCTAAAAATAGAGCACTAGTGTAGGCACAGTGAAATATGATTTGCTTCCAATAATACAGTAAACTAATTGTGAAATTAAGCTATTGAATGTGCCGTTATCTCCGAGTCTGGCCTCACCAGCACTTTCTGCTTCCCTGTTTAACATTTATCAAGTTACCCACAAACTTTGACGGATGCAAACAACAGCTGATAAAATATCACCTTTTCCAAGGCCCCCGATCCCCGATGCCTACCGAGACTTCGGCACAGGTAAAATTCCCGGCGAGCAGCCCTTTTCCACGTTTAAAGACTTCACTGAGGCTATTAAAATAGGGCCAAGTTTTTCCTCCCTCCAACGCCTCGTTTTTTCCTTAAAGATGTTTAAATGAAGAGACATTCAGTGCCTTGATCTTAAAACACAATCAGTTTCAAAAGACTTTAGCCACAAGTGAAATATTAATTTAAAACCAGCATCGCTGTTAGCACCGATTTTTTTTTTTTTTTTTTTTTTTTTTTTCGTTGATGCCTGAAATCGGGGCAGATTTGCCCCACCGCAGCCCGGCGAGTGCAGCGCGGTCGCTCCCCCTTCCCACCCGTACCCCCGGGACCCAAGGGCACAGCGCGGGGCAGGAGGGACCCGGTTCCCCCCGCCTGGCAGCAGCGGGGATGAGCGGGACGGAAGGCGCAGGCCCGGCGCGGGCGAGGGGTTGCAGCCTCCTCCCGCAATCCTGTCCAGGGGCGCTCCGCTCCCCGCAGCCCGCCCGGGGGCCGAGCGGGGCGGTCGGAGCGGGGAGAGGAGGGGTGTTCCGCCGCCGCCGCCGCCAGGGCCGGGAGAGACGCTCCGCCTGGGGAAGGGCACGGGGAGACACTCCTCCTCCCCCGCCGCCCGCCCTGCCGCCCGCCCTCCTTCCCTTCCTCCGGCGGCTCCGCGAACCAGGAACCGCGGCGGCGGCGGGCTCCGTGCGTGAGAAACCCCGCGGCGCCGGGAGCCGCCGGGAGCCGCCGGGGCGGGCGGCGCGGGAGGGGGCGGCGGGGGCACTGCGAGGGGCCGGGCAGCACCGGAGGGGGCGGGAGGGGGGGGGAGAGGAAAAAGTTTACACCCTCGCCACTCTCCTCCCTCCTCTTCCTTGGTGGCGCAGATGGGAGTTTTACCTGGAATGACATAAGTTTGCTTTTTTTTTTTTGAGGGTTTGTTTTTTAATTTTTTTTTTTTTGGAGGGTATATCCCTCCCTCTCCGCCCCCTTTTCTCTACTCTTCCCCCCTCCCCAAAATCCCCTTTCCTCCCTCGCCGGTGGTGGATCCACCCCCCGCTCCCCTCCGCCGGCGGGCGAGGGTGTGACCCGCGGGAACACCCACCCACCTAGGCGTCCATGGTGGGAGCTGTCCGCCGAGCTGAGCCGAGCCGCGGGCACCCCGCCTGCCGCCGCCGCCGCAGCCCCCTCCTGCCGCCCGGCCGCGCTCCCGGCGCTTGCTCCGCGTACTTTTTTTTCCTCTTTTCTTTTTTTTTTTTTTTTCTTTTCCCTGGGTGGTGGTGCGGGCTCCCGGATGGTTCGCTGCCAGTAGCCGGGGGCCGCGCCTCCTCCCCCCGCCGCGCCACCATGTCGTAGGGGAGGTGAGTGCAGCGCGGAGCCTTGCGCGGGGCGAGGAGCGGCGCGGGGGGCAGCGGGGTGGGTGCCCGACGCACCGTCCGGCGTATCCAGGTCACGGCCAGTCCCGTCCCCATCCGTGAAAACTTCGCGGGAAGGACACGTCCATTGCTCGGCAGCGCCCGCGGGGAAGCGCGGCGGCGGCGGCTGCTGCTCCGCGGGTCACGCCGCGGGCGCTGGGAGCCGCCGCCTCGGCCCGTGAGTGCGGGTCGATATTTGGCAGAATAGGAGAAACGAGAGGGGCACGTGACACCCCCAAATCCTGGGGATGTTGGCGCTTTCGCCGTGACTCTGGGGTACAAACCCCGCAGCGCACGCAGGTCCCTGCGGGCGCGCACGGGCGATTGCGGGAGAAGGTGCGCGGTGCCCGGCGCTGCCGCTGCCCGGCGGGCTCAGCCCCCCGCCCCGCTCCCGGCGGCGCCGCTGTCACCCTGCGGGGCTGCGGAGCTGTCCCCGCCGGGCCGTGGGCGCACCTGGGGGCCGGGAGCGGGGCTCTGAGGGGCCGCTGACCGGGGGCTGGGGGCGGTATTTAGGGAGCGAGTTGGGAGCGCAGCGCCCGAAAGTTTGCTCGGCGGCTTTTTTCTTTTTTACGCTTGTCTGGGAAAAGGGTATTCCTGCAGCCGGGACGCGGGCGCCGAGGGGGACACCGGGGAGTGGGAGGTGGCAGCACCCCGGAGGCAGGGGTCGTCCCGGCGGCTCCTCTGATCGCCCCTGGGCGGGGGGAGGCAGCAGGCGGGGGCGCCCGGCGGGATGCGCGGCTGCCGCGGAGCGGAGCCAGCCCGGCGGGGAGCGGAGGACGAGTCCTTGAACCCTCCCGCGCTCCGCCGCCGTCGCTCCGCTCTTTTTTTTTTTTTTTATTTCCCCCAATTTATTTTTATTATTTTTTTTTTTTTTTGTTTTTTTTTGTTAAATCACCGCTGCACCCTCACGGTGCGCATTCATGCGCCCGCTGACAGGCGGAAACCCCGGGCGGGCGGAGAAGGCGATGCCCGGCCCTGCCGCCGGCTCGGCGCGGGCACCGGGCGGGGGCGGCCGCGCCCCGCGCACCTCACCTGTCCGCGGGGAACCCCCCGGGCCGCCGCCCCGCCACCCCACCCACGAGGGTCTGCCGGTGTCGGGCGGGGGGACCGCGGCGTGCGGCGGAGCGCGGGGGTCGCGCGGCCCCTGCGGCTTTAAGGAGATGCGTTTCCCAGCCTGTGTCGCAGCAACTTTGTATCAGTCATGTCGCCCGGCGGGTGAGTGACGGCACGGCCCGGCCAATGGCGCGGCGGGACGGGCCCGGCCGCGCGCCGCTCCGCGCCCCGCCCGCCAATCGGGGCGGGCGGCGGGCGGGACGTAAACTTGAACTTTATGTGGGCATGTGACATGTTTTTAAAGGACTTGGCACCTTTTCCCGTCCCCTCCCGGGTGCCGCTCCGTGTCACCGGGCGGCGCGGCGCGCCTCGGCCGGGCGGGCAGGCGGGGGAGGCGGGCGGGAAGCTGCGCCGCCCGCCCTGCCGCTCCGCTCTGCGCCGCCCTCCGCTCCGCTCGGCTCCGCGCCGCGCCGCGGGGGCGCGGGGGACGCGCTCCGCCGCAACAGGTACCCGGGGGCGGGGGGCGCCGAGACCCGCAGCGGGAAGGTGGGGCTGGCGGGGTGTGGCGGGAGGCTCTTGGCACTGGGAAACCCCCGCTTTGGAGGTTGGGGGAGCGGCGTTTGCACGGGGCGAAAAAAGCGCTTTTCTGCATCGCTCGGGGGTCGGGCGGCGAGGAGAGAGCACAGGAGGGGCGAGCTCGGCCGAGAGCGGGTTTGGGCTCTGGGATCCCGCCCCCGCCGCGGACTCCTGGGATGGAGGGAGGGAGGGAGTGGGCTCCCCCACGCGTGACAGCCCGGATTGCACCTGCGGGGAAAGCAGACAGGGGCGGGGGTGGTGGTGGTGGGAAGGGTTGCAAAGCGGTGCCCGCTGCCCGGGAGCTGCGGTGATGCTCCACGTAGCGTAGGGTAAAAATAGGAAAATAAGCGTGCGCGCTGCTTGCGTGGGTGTTTACACGCGTGTGTGCGTGTGTGTGCGAGCACGGGGGGAGCAGCCCCCGCCGCGGGGACCCGCGCCCGGCGCCGCTCGGGGTCCGTGGGCGGCGGTGCCGGGGCTGCCCGTGCCGCCAGCCGCGCTCCGCTGCCCTGGAGAAAGCGGGGGAAACCCCAGCCCGGCGGTGAAACTCTGATCCCCTGGGCAGTTTTCTGTCAGCGAGGTGGCTGGCAGACGGTGAAACTTAGAGAAAATTTCGTTTACAAGCACCGAGAAATAAGAAGTGTGTGGCCGCTTGAGCCATCAGTTTATTTTTTTTATGAAACTGGGTTTACTTCAGATTTTCCCGTATCTAGGTGACCTTTTGGTTGCAGGGATACCAGGTACCATTTGATTTTTTATTTGGCTGTTGCTGTGAGACTGGTTTCATGCCTGATTGATTGGAGACCTGTGCTGCAGAGGGCTGTGTTTGTTGATATGTTTGGGGTGAAATACATTAACTCGAAGTGTCTAAGTAGTTCTTGGGGGAGGGAGTCTGGAGAACCTGCTATGCTTGTAATATATCTTCCTTTGCAAAATACCAGATATAGATAGTCTTGGTTCCAATAAGCTTTTGTTGTGGTCTGTGGATGTTTTATCCCACCGTCAAATTTGTTTAGTGAAAGTTAGTTAAAAAAGGCATGTCTGTGTAGTAGGTGAAGTGTGGATACCGTGGATAAATGTGCGAGTCAAGTTGGAATAAGTTCTGCTTAAAAGAACAAAACCAAACCCTAATGCCAGCAGCAATCTGTGAGATGATTAATTCGGTTCTGGTATCCACTGAGGCGCTTGGAGGTGACAGATACCAGCACTCCTAAAAAAATCTTTTTGCTGCTGCATTTACGTCTGTCATTTTAAACAGAACTTGTATCAGGCCACAAATAATCTCTGCTGGTTTTTGGTCCTCTCGTCTATATTTACCAGCCTCTGGAAGTGCAGGATCAGGGCATTTTCCAATTTTTTTTTCCTTTGTGTGACCCAGATTTTTATTCACTGAAGTCTTAAAGTATGCTCACCTATTGATTATATATGAAGTTCGAATTTTACTGCCATGGGAGAAGTGGCTACAAAGCTCAAGTACTAGTGTAATGTTAGGCCTATAACTGAGATTTCTTGGTACACAGTGGTTCTGCTGGTGTTTCTGAGGGTTAAAATTCACTTACATCCTAATTTTAAGCCTTAACTAAGTTTCCTGGTTTTCAGAAATGCGGGTCACTCACAGCTGCGATTGATTTCTCTAGGAAATTAGACTTGGTCAGCACTTCAGTCAGGGGTAGGTGATTGTTTGGGAGTGACTTTATATGAAATTAGGCACTTTTGTCTGAAAATTTTAGACTATAGGAATGTGATTTGATACACACTATGATGTGAGACACATGATTCTATGTTCTAATATAATTTGTGCTTGAGGGGAGTGTAGGCATAGGGCCATAGTTCTAACTAAAGGCAAAGAAGTATTCAAGTAATTCATTTTAAGGTTCTTTGTTTTTATAATTTTGCTTAAAATAGTGTTGTTAAGTAGTGTTCAGTAAAGAGGTTAAACACTGAATTAAATATTGAATACATTCAGAAAAGAAAAAAATATTTGCTTGATATTGTAGCTGCTGGCACTTGAGTTTCTACAGTTCTAACGATACTGTGAGCCAAATCCTTAAAAAATTAAAAATTGTTGTTACTTTTATGTGATTTTTAGACTATTGAAGACTAGGTCATGCATTTTGCACCCTGCCTTGAGAAAGTGGTAGGTGGGATGGGAGGGATTTTTTTTAGGGTCCATTTTAGAACAAGGTTTACATTTCTTTATTTATTCCTCTTGCCATGGAGGTTTGCAGAATTTGCAGAATTATGGATCCACTTAGTAGCCAGGCATCCCTGCCTAATCTAGTCCCCTTCCTCTGTGGCAGAAACGTTTCCTATTCAACTTTTGCTCTACTTCTCTCCCCTCTCCATGTCTCCTTGTATAAGGAGCTAGTATAAGAAGTTTGTATAGCTGCGAAGGGGCAAGTCAACTCCCAGCCCCTCAGAACCGCTGCTTCCTTCTAAAGCATCTTATGTTATGCTGGATGATGAGGACTATGAAGAATAACCCCTGTAGCACACCAGCCTCCCTTGCTTTGCTGTCCCTGTAGCATGGCAGTGGAAGGTACTTGGAGGAGCAGAGCTGTGATGAGCCATTTCCACAGAGTTTACATCCCACCACCATGTCCTCCTTCCAGGACCTCTCTGGATCCCCTCCTTCCTTGTTACTCCCTTCCTTTTTTTCCTTCCGGGTCTCTGGGTGAGGGACAGCCCATGGTGCTGCTGGCACTGGCCATGGGGCTGCGGCCAGCGAGAGTGGGCGGTTGTTGTGCTGACCTTGCTGAGCTGTTCCTTTTGGGGCAGGGCTGGGAGCAATAATTTGGGTGTTTCCTAACTGCTGAGCGGTTTTCTCTCTGAACCCGTGGGGCTGTCCTACCCATGAGACCTTTCCCCTCAGTTTGATTGAAATTGGACAAATGCTTGAGAGATGATGGATGGGGCAGGAAAATGGGACTGGCAGGCAGACAGAGAGGAGGATAGACAGAGAGAGCGGATACGCCTTGTTTCCTTAGGAAATTAGGAAATTTCCTTAGGAAGTCACACTGTCCTGTCATTTATTAATTTTACTTTTTTGTATATGTCTTTGCTAGTTATGGAGACAAAAGGATACCACAGCTACCCAGAAGGCTTAGATATGGAGAGACGGTGGGGTCAAGTTTC